GAAAATTATTTCAAGTCATCAGGGCCCAATGAAATAGTTCCTTTAGTATTCTAGGATGTGTCTGAGGATATGTCTGAGCCATTAGCAATTATCTTTAAAAAGTAATGGGAGATGGGAGCAAAGTCAGAGGCCTACCAGTATATTTGCCCTTTTTCCAATCTATAAAAAGGAAATAAGAACAACTCAGGGAATTCTAGACTACTCCTCTTAACTTCAGTACCCAGAAAGATAATGAAGCAATAGTTAAGCAGTCAGTTTACAAACACCTAGACCAGTGGTCCCCAACACGGTGCCCAGGGGCGCCAGCGGGGGCATTTCTGTGTGCCCGCCAAGTGCTCGGGGCTGGCCCTGCCCTGGGCACATGGCGCATGCGCGGTGCTGGCCCCAGGCGTGCTGTGCATATGCGGCGCCAGCTCCGGGCGCATGCGCATGGGGAGCGCTGGCCCTGGGCGCTTGGTGAATTGGCCGCCTGTGCTCCGGGCGCGCGGCTATGGGGAGCACCGGCCCCGGGCACGCAGCTAAAGGGGGCGCTGGACCCGGGCACGTGGCAAATTGGCCTCCCCGCCCCGGGGCGCACAGCTATGGGGGGTGCCGGCTCTGGGTGCGCTGCTGTGAGGGGCGCTGGCCCCAGGCTTGCAGCGAATGAGCGGCCCCGCCCATGGCCATGCGGCGCATGGGGTTGCTGGCCCCAAGCACGTGGCTCATGGGGGGTGTGGCATATGCGCGGCCCCATCCCCGGGCACGCAAGTGTTCCCGCCCTCTGGCGCCCGGCGGGCGAACAGCCCCGCCCCCTGGTGCCCGGCAGCTGCAAATGGTTGGGGACCACTGACCTAGACAATAAGTTAACAGTGTGCATCACCTTTATTATTTAAGAACAAATTTTGTCAAACCAACCTAATAGCTTGTTTGTTTTTTTTAATGGGGTAAGAAGCCTTGCGATTAGAGGGGAGGCAGTACATGCAGTATATCTTGTCTTTAGTAAAGTTTTTCTTTTTATATTGTCTCACATGACTTTCACATAAACTAGAGAAATGCAACCAAATGAAGCTACTATAAATTGGGTACATAACTGGCTGGACCCCAAAATTAATTAGCAATGGTTCAAAATCAGATCGGAAAGGTATATCGAGTGGGATCCCACAGGGATCAGTTCTGTTCAATATCGTAATGATTTAGATCCATAGTTCTGAAACTGTGGGTCAGGACCCAAAAATAGGTTGCAGACCCCTTTAAATAGGGTCACTGGGGTGGCTTAGAGTTACTGTAGCTTCAGCCATCTTCAGAAGGACTCAGGATGCAGGCCTCCTGCCTGAGCTTTGCCTTTATCACCACCCAAAGTGGTGGGGCTTGGACTGTGGCCTCCCCTCCCTTGAGGCAGTGGGGTTTGTATGGACTCAGGCTTTAGTGTCTCCCCTCCCTCCCTTGGGGTCATCATAATTTTGTTGTCAGAAGGGGGTCATGGTGCAATGAAGTTTGAAAAACCCTTATCTAGACCATCTTGACAGATTCCACAGCCTCCCTTGGTAGTTTATAGTATTCTATAGGAAGATTTTCCTAATGTCCAGTCTAAATTGCTTTTACTGCAATTTAAGACCATTGTTGTCCTGTCCTAAAGGGAACCATTTTTTACCTCCTCTTTGTAACAAACTTTTATGTACTTGAAAATTGTTATGTCTCCCTTCAGTCTTCTTCCTAGACTAAACAAACCCATTTTTTCCCAATCTTCCCTCATAGGTCATGTTTTCTAGACCTTAAATAGTTGCTCTTCTCTGGGCTTCCTATAGTTTGTCAACATCTTTCCTGAACTGTGGCACCCAGAACTGGACACAGTACTCCAGTTGAGGCCTAATCAGCATGAAATAGAGCAGAAGTATTACTTCTCATGTCTTGCTTACAATACTCCTGCTAATACATCCCAGAATTATGATTTTGGGGGGGGTGGGTGGGTGGGTCTAATACATCCCAGAATTATGATTTTGGGGTGGGTGGGTGGGTGGGTCGGTTTGTTTGTTTGTTTGTAAACTGCTGACTCAAATTTAGCTTGGGATCCACTATGACCCTCAGATCCCTTTCCACAGTGCTCCTTCCTAATCAGTCATTTCAGTTTTCATATGTGTGCCTGATTGTTCCTTCCTAAGTGAAGTACTTTTGTATCAGGGATGTTAAATATCGGTTAATTGAATATTCGAGTAACCGTTTCAAGCCAGGACTGAGCTGGACTGCTGGCCAGCCTGCTAAAAAATTTACTAGCAAGTGGGGGGGAGGTGTGTGAAATGCATGTACTCTATAGCATTAACTTATAAGATTTTGCTTATCGGTGTATTGGCTACACTATTACATCCCTACTTTGTATTTGTCTGTATTGAATTTTAACCTGGACAAACTGGAGAAATGGTCTCATTTTGAATTTTAATCCTGTCCTCCGGAGCACTTGCAACCCCATTCACCAGGTTGGTGTCATCTGTACTGAAGATAATGACAGAGAGTACAAAGTTTGTACAGTGTTTAGCAAAAAGCTCCAAATTATACTAGCCAATGAGACTCAGTCTATTTAGGAAAATTTTAAAAGTATAAATTCAAAATATGATTAAAATTGATAGGAAATATGATTTAAGCAGTTTCCTGATTTAAATCACTTTTTAAATAAATCACCCTCTCCTACAGAAGAAATAGGAAGTATGATATGATATGGTGGTAAAATTTACTACACACTTAACCAAAATACTGAGGGGGGTACACCTGCTCTACATAGATTATTCTGAGAGACATTCTTGAAAGGTGCTTTGGTAACGAACACCGGAGTATTGGCTTTAGCTGTAGGATTAGTTTTGCACATATAACTGATCTCAAACTCTTACCAAACTGGATGAGATACTCTAACTTCCCTATTGCATTATTTTAAAAAGTTTGTAGACTAAGTGGAATTTGGTACAAATTAAATTGATAAAGTGACTCTCTTAAAAGCATATAAAACTGCTTGGTGAAGGGATATTAATTTGTAATTTATGGGCTTTACATGCTCTGTTCAACCCAGATTGTAATGAAGAAAATAATCACTAAATGGTTTTAAAGGTGATGTGCAAAGGAAAAAGAAAAAGGGGTTTGAGCTCTCTTTGTAATCTATTCTTCACTTATAAAGACTGCGCAAAAGGCCCTTAAGAAGGAAGGCTTTCCAAATATATACATGAGTGTAATCTTTAAAAATATTTGCAATTTCCAATCTAGTTTTGCTAGCAGATTATTGGAGATTTCGAATGTGAACTCTTTCACCCCTTAACTGAGAGTTTGAGTATTCTCTTTAAGAGATCTCTTTTCTGAAAAGTTTCCTGGTCATTTGAGTTAAAGGTGTAAACAAAGTAAGACACACCTCCGTTGCATAGCTTTTAGCCTTAAAATAAATTAAACTTCATGCCAAAGAATGCATCTGATACCAGGAAGCAAGCATACCCGTTCTGAGAGGTTTGAAGTTCAGCTGATGCTTCTAAGCCTCTGAGCTGTGGGTGCTATCAAAGATAAACTTATGTAAAGGCTCTTAATAATCATGTTTAGGTTAGTTGAAATGCTGAATTTAATGCTGCAATCTACTCTAGTTCTTCTGAGCTCCACAAATTACCTTGGTCAAGTTGTGAAAACTGATCAGTGATTGAGCGTCACTAGTCACTCAGGTGAAAAACTAAAATGCAGTCTTGTTTTGTGAAGCATACTTGGTGATTTGGCTACCCTGCAACACCTTTCTACCATTTCTGAGGGAAATCCCAGTGAGATCCTGGTGCAGATATCTGTTCAACAACATATAATGTCAGGGGTAGCCAGACTTTATTGACCCTGAGTCACAAACTACAATCTTCAGAAGTTCAAAAGCTGGAAGGTGCATGAAAATGCAGTCTTGTTTTGTGAAGCATACTTGGTGATTTGGCTACCCTGCAACACCTTTCTACCATTTCTGAGGGAAATCCCAGTGAGATCCTGGTGCAGATATCTGTTCAACAACATATAATGTCAGGGGTAGCCAGACTTTATTGACCCTGAGTCACAAACTACAATCTTCAGAAGTTCAAAAGCTGGAAGGTGCATGACAAGGATTCAGCCCTGCTCCTGCCGAACAGGAACACCCTCGGGGGCTAAAGCTCCACGAGCCCTTTTCCCCACTATGTAGAAGCCTCAACCTGCCAGCAGAGGTACTGAGCTCTCTTTTTCCCCTCCACCAACCCAGTTTGAGCTGGAGAATGTTGGAGCGGGATGCAGGGTGAGCTCTGCAAGCCCCACGTTAACTGTAAAAGATATTTATACTTGGGGGACATTAAGTGCCAAAAACTTTAAAATTCTGCAGATTGTACTTGTCAAAATAACTGGCTACATTATTACATCCGTTTCAGTTATTTTTAGAAATTGGTTATAAAATACAGTATGTCAGCAGGTATTTCTGTAACAATACAGACACACACAGATATTCCCCCAAGAAGTAGAGAGTTAAGGAAATCCCCATGACAGCCCAGTTCCTGTTTCTCTGTCTCCTGCCCCAGATACCCACACCCCCTCCGTCCTCAGAAGGTAGCTGCAGGGTCCCCAGATACCTGTGCCTCCTCCCCTTCCAGTGCCTAGCCATAGGGGAGCCCCATTTGTCCAGATATGCCCTCTTTCCCCCATACATCAGGAATCCAGAGGGAGAAACAGCCTGATGCTCTGTCCCAGACTTGCATAGAGTTTTCTGTGCGCTGCCCTCTCCTTCTCTTAGGACATGTGGGGAACTGCAGCTGCCAGGAACCAGCTAGCACTCTCTCGCCAGCCGTGTTTTTATGTGTGAGCAGGGATGTGATGAATCCAGTGACCCCTAATTGCATCCCATTTCTGTGGGGGAAAGAAAATTCTGTGTGCACATTAATATCTGCAAAATTCTGCATTGCACAGTGGTGTATCATTCCCTCAGGTGTGAAAAGAGCTGCTTGTGGCTCAGTGGTCATAGGCGGGCAAACATAGTTCTGATGGACTTTACAGATTACTCATTTAATCCCTTACTCAAGGTACTGTACTACTTCACGGTTATAACAGCCTTCCTATAAACTATAATGTTAGCCAGACGTGTTGGTGAAACCCAATCACTAATGGCATATCCTTCTTAGACAGTATTCCAAAGTGTGGTGCTGAAATCACGTACCAGATTACCACTGACCTCTGTCCTGTGGGATGCCCTACCACCCTGTCCTGCTTATGCCATACCCTACAGTCTCCTCCAGTGATGACAGAGGCTACATCTAGACTGCAGCGCTTTTTTGGGATACCAGAGATATCCTGGAAAAGCAATGTCGCGTCTAAGGAACGCGTCTGCTTTTCCAAAAAAAATTTCGGAAAAGTGGACACGCTCTTTTGCCATCCCTGTAAACCTCATTTTACGAGGCATAAGGAATGTCAAAAGAGCAGGTTTTTCTAAAATTTGGCACCATGTAGAAGCTCTTTTTTTGAAAGAAAAGCAAAAAAAAAAAACCAACAACTTCGCAAGGCCCTCTCTTTGCACATCTAGATTAGTAAGCAGGTTTATACGTTCTATTTCTAACTTTAATTACAAGAATGATACATGCTCACAAATTGAATATACACATTTAGTCAATTATATCTTTAATGATATGTTACACAAAGTATTTTGCATAAATCATGTTTTGAGTCATGACATATTTCCTATACATGAGCATATTTCCATTGTATAATATGGAGGGTAATGTCACAGACTTATCCTGATTTTATTAAAATGTTCATGACATAATGGGGAGCTGCAGGGTCCCAGATCTCCTGTGAGGGTGGCTCAGAGCGTTGTAGGGTCTTCCCTCCCTGCTGACTCTGTCTAGGAGCTCCCAGAGTACCCATTTTGGCTGGTGGCACTTTACCATTTCCAGCCATCACAGGCAGTAGTGGAGGGCAGCTGAGGCTGCCAGGTTCTGTGGGCTGAAGTCACAGAAGTCTCTGAAAGCCATGGAATCTGTGACTTCTGCCACCTCTGACAAAATTGTAGCATCACTTTATGGTTACTGTGATTCAGGACGTCTAGTCTGTGTAGCTGTCATAACCTACCTTCTATCACTGTGCTTTTGGAACCCATGTCTGGGTTACTGCCTCTCATTTCCCTCACTAATTTACAAAGGGCTGGTCTGCCCTATGTATCTTCAGCTGTGGCGTGCATGAGGACACAATGCTGAGGTCATAAGGTTTGAAATGGTATGCATGAGTAGCAGAATTGTGATCACATGATAACTGCAGTTTTTGAAAGCAATTGTTCTTTGCACAGAATACGATAAATACAGGCTAATTCTTATTTATTAAATCTTTAAGGTCCCACCACAGTGGCCTCCTGGGGAGCAAAGGAATTACGTTTTACCTCCGGTAAGGCCGACAGAATATAATGCATGAAATTTCAGCCTTCTTGTCTGAGTGTTGCTTTGCTAGTTTATCAATTGTAATCAAAATCAAACTTTTATTAGTGCAAAATTGCTTTGCAAAGAGTAGACCTCTCTGGATTAAATGCTGATAGTGGTACTCATGACTGAGACTGCTGATTAAGTCTCAGTTTAGGGTTTCATATTTCTGTGGAAGCTCTTAAGGAAGAGTTTCTTGGGAGAACAAAAACAAGTTTCATTTCTTCTTTCCGTGTTCTCCCAGATTAAGCCACAGGAGGGTTCGAAGGCGCTAAAATAACATAATTTAAACAACTCCTTTTCATGGAAAAAGTGGACTTTTTTTGAACCATGTCGACAAAACTATACCAGCGTCTACGCTACCGCTGAGTTCTGTCGACATAACGTCGACAGAACTCAGCAGTTTTGTCGACGCTGGTATACCTCATTTTATGAGGCATAACACCTTCTGTCGACAGAACTCTGTCGACAGAAGGTGTTATTGCCTGTAACATTGCGTCCAGACTACGGAGTTCTGTCGACAAACCAGCTTGCTTTGTCGACAGAACTCAATGTGTCTGGACGCTCTTTTTCGACGGAAGTTTTGTCGACAGTATCTGTCGACAAAACTTCCGTCGACAAAACGCGGTAGTCTAGACGTACCCTTAGAGGGGATAAAAGCATAGCTTTCCTTTTTTTTTTTTTTTTTTTTTCCTTCAAGACCTGAATAACAAAGACATTACTGCTTATTAACTGTTGCAGTTTTTTTCAAAAGGCTCTGATTGTGTTTAATAAAGCAGACGCTTGTCGTATTTCTGAATGTGTGTACAAATTGTTGAATTGAGTTTCTTTCAAACTCTATAGAAATAAGATATATTAGTGTCTCTGCCAGATTCAGTGGACTTGCAGCAATGATTGGAAACCATCTACTCCAAATCCCAAAGAAAGCAACCTTTCATGGCTTTGCACAAGTGACAAAACGTATTTTTTCACTTATTTTCCCTTTAGAGACTTGTAAGAATTGTATTCTACTTGTATGAAATGTAAAATTCCAATCATTGTCCACATTTAATCCAGATTTACTTTTTTCCATTGGAAGGTCTGACATGAATTCTCTTTAAGGATAATTATTTTAGTGTAATGAATCATTTGTCCATGATTTGAAATTGTGCTGCTTGAGTTTATAGATAGGATGTGTACAGTGGAATTAGATACTTGTGGATGGCCTGTACCAGCCGTCTTGAGCTCGTGAAGCTTGGGTTAAGGAGTTATTTAATTGTATTTGTAGGTGTTGGAACTTGGGCTGGAGTCCGGTGGGGGGAGGCAGACACAGGACATCTACACCGCAATTAAATATCCCCTTGCCCTGAGTTAAGTGAGCCAAAGTCCGATGGTATCAGCCAGCTGCAGGAGTCTTAATTCCTGTGTAGATATAGACTATCTTAGAATTGCTGTGCTTGTTTTTTCTTCCTATGAATGGTATTCCTTCAAAGCCATTTCTCACAGCCCCCGTAGGATAAGTGGGGAATTGGAAATGATCATTACTTTCCTACTCTAATGTTTTGAGTTTCAGGGATACACTTCTCTTTAACATCTTATTGCAGGTGTTGGCACCCATCCCCATGTTGAACAGTTACTCACCTGAATTTATATATATTGTCTTGTTTTTGAATGGATCATGTGTACCAAGCTTTTTTGGTATCATACTTATCTAACATATGGGGAGAAATTCCTGTGCTCAACATATTCTTTACTGGGAAAGTTGGTAGATCCTTCAAAATGTGTCTTCCCTGTATTGGAGTTCACCAGAAGCAGAACCAGATGTATGACACTCAGCACTCCGGAAGTGGACAAACCCCTCCATCTCCAGCCAGTTTAAGATAAATAACAGTTTGTGATTAAAGGACGTAACTCTTAACAGGCTCTTAAAAAGCCACTTCTAATTCCATCCCAGTTACTGGCTGGCAAACAAATAATATGCATTAAAAATAGGTGCGGTAGTGTGAGCTGTCTTTCAGAATTATATTGCTTTTGTTCAGTTGATAAGATAAACGGATTTTCTCACTAGAAGAAATACAGCTTTTTGAATGAGATTTTCTTGTTTATTAGTATGTAGTAAGTACCATACATCTTCATAATATAGTGCTTCAGCGTGGCAATGTAATAAACATTTTATAGTTTGGAACAAGAAAAATAAAGCCATTAATTGTAGTAATCTGAACATAGTGAACTAGTACGGAGAACCAGACCTCTTTAGGAAGTACATTTATCATTGATTTGTGTGTAAGGGGCTTCTCAAAGGGATAGTGGCCACAAGGGTGTTGTGGCCATATGAGTAGTCAGCCAGGCTCTCTTCAGTGACTACGGAAGTGTTTCTTGGCTGAAGTTTCAGATACCAGAAAGTTTCTTGTAATGCTTAGTTATAACTTGAGAACTCAGTCTAAAGTAATTCAATAAGTATATCCCATTTTGGTGTCCATGCAAAGTAGGAGATACCGTCACATCTTTTTTTGCCTTTATTTGATAAAAGTCGAACCATGAAATAATTACTACTTCTGTGCAGTATTCTAATGGACTGGCATAGTTTTCCATTTTCACCATGAGACTAGTTGAAGCTCAGTGACCCTAAAGGATTGTGGGCCTCTAATTTGTTGGTGCCTTAAGCACTACCTATCTGTCAGTACCTTGGATCCCCCTCAGCTTGTAAAGCCAGATTCTTTCTGATGGCAAACAGAAACAATACACCTATGCTGTCTTCCAGCTTTTGACCCAGGGTCTGAAGTCTTCTGCTTCAGTTGTGAACACCTTTTCTTCCCTTCTTTTCCCCTCAGATTAGGTAAATTCCCTATTAAAATAACCCTAGACCCTATAATTGGGTCTAACTTCCAGCAATACACCATAAAAATAACCAGTCATTGAACTTGTCTGGAAGGCACAATAGCATGGGCAGTCGGTGAAGGTAGGGCTTGGGGCCCTTGCCCCCAGCCCCACTCTGACCCCAGTCCCTTCTGCTGGGACTCTGCCCCCACAAGAGCCACACTGCTTTCCCACCCCAACCAGAGGGAGGTGAGCTAGTGCCCACACTCACATCACTACGGGGCAGGGAGCGGGCAGGTGTGTGTGGCCCCAGCCTCCTGGGCCCCGGAGCATGAGGAAGGCAAGCACTACAGTAGGCATTCTGGAGGCATTGTGTGGATGGGGCCAGGCTGGCAGTTTGGGAAGGCTGTGCCTTCCTTTGCCTAAGATACCAGCTGCCAACGAGCAATAGATATCCTTGTGCTAACATTTTTCAGTTTTTGAAAATGTAATCCTTTTGTTCTGCATTAGTAATAGGTGAGCACCAGGGACCCAGCAGTTGTGCTTCCAAGCTGCTCCAACAACTCAAATTGTAATAGACCTTGGGATGGAGAGCATCTGTACTTTTATTTCTTAATTGCAACACTTAATTACACAGGCTTATACTTCAATAAACTATCACTGCAGTGAAGTAGAGCCAGAAGTTATCCAAGCAGAATGTTCTGTTCCAGAGCCTGCACAATCATCTGGAAACAGTCCACAAAAGGCAAGTGTTCAACTCTGAAGATGTATATTCTTAAATGTCCCTATATAACCTATTTCCAGGAACTTGTATAGAAGGGGTAGAAAAAGGATGGTAGTTGATAGGGCACAGTCCTGGGATCCTGGAAAACTGGGCTGAGTTTCTGACTTAGTCATAGACTTTGATAGACTTGTCCAGGGTCACAGTCTACCCAGTCCCTCATTTTCACATATGTAAGAGGAGGGTAAATATTTGCTTCAAATAGCGTAAGGTTGTTGGGTATTATGACAGACAAAAGTGTACTGTAAATTAGCATCTATAACCCGCACTCGTGTATAACCTGCACCCATGCATAACCTGTGTTTTTTTTCCTGGATGTGTATTTAAAAAAAAGTTTTAGATAACCCACGGACGTGTATTAACCTGCGGGTTATATACGCTACTTCAGGGGTTCCCAAACTTTTTGACACAGGGACCAGTAAATCCATTCACAAACTTTTGGAGGACTGGTAATTTTCATTTGCATATTCATTAATCAAATGATGAATATTCAAATAAGTTGTTTCTGGTCCTCCCCAAGCCCCCAGTGCCAGCTTTAGCAAAGCTTTTGATATGGTCACCCACAATATTCTTGCCAGCAAGTTAAGGAATATGGATTGGATAAATGGACTGTAAGACAGACAGAAAGTTGGTTAGACCAGGGTTTCCCAAACTTTTTACATTAGTTGGAACCCTTTTTTTTCAATTCTGCTTTTCCCCCCCCCCCCCCCCCCCGAACTGTTTTTGGCAGCCCAAAAATATAAACACATAAAAACAAACTGAGAAAAATACCAGATATATAATATGTCTGGTATTTTCTCATTAGGTGAGTTTTATTATTATTAGATGTATCAGTTTGTGGTTTCGAACTGCCTGGCTGGTAAATGTGCTTAGGCTGCATGAGTGTGTCTACCAGCCAGACAGTTCGCAACTATTTGAGGGGGTGTGCATGTGTGCGTGCGCACGCAACAATAGAATCCCCAAGACAGACTAACTTGTGCTTTGGCGGGGGGGGGCAGTGCCCCGAGATCTACATATGGCCGGGTCAGTCCCACTCCCCACAGGCCGATTCATTCTTCCCCCTTGCTCTCCCCGCTGCGCCTCTGGCCAGCCCCAATTCCCCCAACCCCCTCCTGGGCATCCAGTTCTCCCCCACTTCTCCTCCCAATCTCCCTTGGCCAGCCCTGCTGCCCGCGTCCAGCCCTCCTTTCGGCAGCCGGTATCGGGCTGCGGCCCATAGTTTGGGAAACGCTGCGCTACTTTAAGGTAATTGCACATACCAGGATAAATTGCATCTTCTGTTAGGTAGCCAACCTGCTGCCAGCGGGGGGAACGTAGAGCGCAGCTCAGGCAAGCTGGCTGGCTGGCCTATGGGAGGGTAGCCGCACTCGTGCCCAGGCTCCGTGCAGCTGTAGCCAGGCGCAACCCACCTTCCTCCAGGCAGGGGGAACGGAGAGCGCAGCTCAGGCTACCCCGCGGACATGTATACCCCATGGGGGGGGGAGTTGTAAAAACGTGTATAACCCATGGGCTATATACGCTAAAAGACGGTAAATCAGCATGAATTCAGCAAACAACTTTGCTTAGCCTCTGGGCTTGACTTACTGTGGGAATCACATGAAACAAGGTACAACTTGTGTTTTTTTTTTTTTAATTGTTACATTGAATTTTATTTTGCTTCTAACATTGGTAGAAACAAAAAACATTGGGCAATATCACACTTGTCTTTCATGCTGAAGTCTCATTTCAGAAAGGGCATCATCTCTCCTTGTTATAGATCTTAAACTTTTGAGACTTAAATTTAACTTGGTATTTAATAAACATCGCTTGCTCATATTGCAAATTGCTAATTTGAGGTCTGGAGTTAGAACACATTTTAGAAAACAAGTAAACTGAAATCTGTCTTTCAGATAATACTGTAAATTCTCAGTCTAGTAACTTCCTTTCAGAAAGAAAAGCTTCATATAACTCAGAACAAAATTGTGTGTAATATGTTGATACTGTGAATATAAACTAGCATTTTTTTAGAATTCAGCTACAGTAGCAGTAAGTGCTTAATAAATATTGACACTAGTCAGTAATCCTGAATGTTTACACTTCACAGTTTAGCATCTAGTCTATAGACATGCTGGTAACAGTGAACTAGTTAATAAACTCAGTATTGTTGTAGATGCATGTTACTGAAAACATGTATTTCAGAAGTCTGTGGACCGAAGCATACAGACAGTGGTATCCTGTCTGTTTAATCCCGAGAACCGTCTGAGAAACACTATTGTATCACAGGAAGACTATTTCAAGGTATGGAATAAAAGCAAACTTTAAAAATTTGACTTTTTTCCCCACAACTAAATACAGTGGTGACAACTCAAATGCCAATAAACTTGTTCCATATTTGCAACTGGACCATATCCATGTCTCGTTCTGACTCTTACTGCAGTTATTTGCTTGCTTTTCTGTAGAGATCTTTGATATAACTATCACGGCGTTATTTGGAAGGTCTTGAATCTTAATTCCTTTTCCCAGAGCCCTGACAATCTTTGACCAACTACTGTTGGCCTTGACTTGAAGGATTTAGATTTAACAGTGCTGTACCACAAACCTGCACAAATACTGCTGTGTAATTCAAACTGGCAATATTTCATACTGTGTGTTTCCGTAACATTTTCCTCCGATGAGAAATAGATGAATCTTGGTCTGTTGGTACCAAACAAGCAGCAGTTTACCCCCTCATCCAGAGGATGACTTGGGTTCTATAAATTATATTCTTCAGAGATGTCATACTGATTTTGAATGTCAGAATACAGTTTTGAATGTCAGAACATAGTTAAGAGTCGTCACTACAATCCTTCCAAACTGTAAAATGGAGGATGATGGCTTGTTCTTAGAATAAGTTCCCTTTCAGGTTGATATTTATTAAGGGCAGGGATACTCAAAAAGAGTCTTGTGAGCTACATGTGACTCTTTCATGTGTCTCCTGTGCCTCTTGCAGCACATATTAAAACACTGTGGGTATGTCTACACTACAAAGTTAATTCGAACTAACGGACGTTAGTTCGAATTAACTTTGATAGGTGCTACACAGCGCTCCGCTAGTTCGAACTTAATTCGAACTAGCGGAGCGCTTAGTTCGAACTAGGTAAACCTCATTCTACGAGGACTAAGCCTAGTTCAAACTCACTAGTTCGAATTAAGGGGTTTGTAACCCCTTAATTCGAACTAGTGGGAGGCTAACCCTCCCCAGCTTTCCCTGGTGGCCACTCTGGCCAACACCAGGGAAACTCTATTCCCCCCCTTCCGGCCCCGGACCCTTTAAAGGGGCACGGGCTGGCTACGATGCCCTTGCCAGGTGCAAGCCTGCCAGCACCCAGCTAGCAGACCCT